ACCTGGCTTTATATTTCATTTTTGTTTGTTACTAATAAACAGAAATATTACTGAATCTTATATATTTACATTATATTCTGAGGTCTTGATACATTCAATGATCGGTTCTAGTAAATTTTTATTGGTTCCTTAAGATTTTTATATAGATAATCTTATCACCTATGAAAATGAACAGTTTTACTTCTTCCATTCCAATATTTATGCCTCTTTTCTTGCCTTATCTCTGGCTAAGGGCTTTAGAACAGTAGTGAAAGTGGTTATTCTTGTTTGCAATCTGAGGATCATGGCAATCAGCAGTTACCATTCCAGTGTGAAATGATGTAATGAATATGTCATTTCAAATAGGGCAATTTTTGTTTTGTTTTGTTTTGAGACAAGTTCTCACTTTGTAGTTCAGGCTGGCCCTGAACTCACTATGTAGCACAGGCAGGCCTCAAACTCTCGGCGATGTGATCTTCCTGCCTGGGCCTCCCAAGTGCTGGGATTACAGGTGTGTGTCACCGTGCCTGCCTCAAACAGGGGAACTATTACTTCTTTCTTTCTAACTTGCATTTTCCCTTTTCTTTCATTAATGCACAGACCAGTTCCACACGGTGTTGTATCAGAGTGGTGACAGTGAATGTCCTTGCCTAGTTTGCAGACTTAGAGGGAAGCATTCAAACTTTTCATCATGAAATCTGATGTTAGCTGGAGGTTGCTCATAGACAGCTTTTACTATGGTCAGAAAAGCTCCTCTCTACTTGTTTTCAGAGTGCTTCTATCATTTAGTTTGTTTTTTGAGACAGGGTCTCACTATGTAGTTCAGGTTTGCCTTGAACTTAATATGTAGCCCAGGCTGGCCTCAAATTCACTATGATCCTCCTGCCTGGGCCTCCTGAGTGCCGGGATTACAGGACGTTAAATGTTGCCAAACATTTGCCCTGAATCTACTGAAATAATATGTATTAGTTGTATTAGTCTGCTAATATGACTTACATTGATTTTTGAATGTTAAACCAATCCGGTATTCCTGAGTTGAACCACACTTAGCCATGAGCTGTTATCCTTTTTATATACAGTGGACCCTTGACTTGTGAACTCTATTGGTTCCCAGAGGGCTGATTGTAACTAGGTCAACACAGCTGAGATCTGGATGTTTACCTGGGTACATGATATAGATAACAAGAGGCAGATGACTCTTCCATTAACCTAATTAACCCAAGTTTGTACGTCGGGCCGATTGTAACTTGAGGGTACACTGTATTATTGGATTTGATTTGCTTATTTTAGTTAAGGATTGTTGTGTCTATATTCATGAATGATGCTGACCTATGGTTTTCTTTCAATATCATTGTCAGAGTTTGGGCAAATTCCTCCAGAACAGAAAGCTGTTTCTTCTTCCTCTATTTTCTGAATAACTTTGTGTCATTTCTTTCTTGCATGGTTGATTGAACTTACTAGTGAAATCACCCAGGACTAGGGTTTTCTTCCTGATAAAAATAAATTTCAGCCAGGTGCAACAGTGCACACCTGTAATCCCAGCTATTAGGGGGCTAAAAGCACAAGGATCCCAACTCAGGCCAGACTGGGCAACTTAGTAAGACCTTCTCAAAATAAAATTTTAAAATGTGCTAAAAATATAGCCCAGTGATAGAACATTGGAGCTCAAGCCCCAGTACAAATATACAATAAAAAATGAATTTATTGGATGTATATATAGTATTTTTTTTTCTTTTGGTGCCAGGGATTGAACTTGGTACTTTACACTTGCGAAGCAGGTGGAGGAAACACTGAGCTAAATCCCTGGCCCCTATATATAGTATTATTTTTATATACAGTTTGTATGTTATGTGTACACGTGTGCTTTGTTTTTTTCCAGATTTTCTATTCAACCTGCATCAGTTTGGTAAGATAAGTTTTTCTATTTTATTTTTTTTTTTCCCCTTCGGTACTGGGATGAAATTCGGGACCTTGCATTTGCGAAGCAGGCAGTGAAAACACTGAGCTAAATACCCAGCCCTCCATTTTATGTAAATTGTTGAATTTATTGGCATAAAGTTGTTTATAAAATTACTTTAAATTTTAGATGTCTGTAGAATCTCTACCTCATTAACGATATGGGTAATTTTTTTCTTTCTCTTTTTCTTCCTTTCCTTTTTCTTTCCCTCCCTGCCTCTGTTTTTCTCTGCTAGGGAATTGAACCCAGGGTTCCTTACAAGCAGGAAGTGTTCTACCACTGAGCTACACCCCAAGCCTGTTTCTGTTTTATGGATTTATACCCGTATATTTATTATTTCCCTCCCCCGTCTTACTTTTGAGTTTCACTTGCTCACCTATTCTGGCTTCCCTAAATAGTAGAAATGGCCATAAGAGGGGCCATAGGAGTGGAGCTGCTGTTTCTGGGTTTTCGTTTTTATCATTTTGGCAGTGCTGGGAATCAAATCCAGCCTTTCACACACACTAGGCAAGCACTCTACTACTAAACTGTATTCTCAGCCCCGAGCTGCTTCTTGCAATTAATAATTTGGGTTTCTTCAGTGTCCACTGTTGCCTCTTTAGCCCTCCAATATTTGTATGATCTACTGTCTGCATTAAATATCTAGTATGGTTTTTGTTTTCCTGATTGGGCTCTGCTATATATATAAACTAGAATTTCTTAAAAGTTCATACCCACTGCCACTAAATTAGTTGTTTGACATATTCATGGGTGCAGTAACCTAATGGGTTTGGAAAATGCTCCATATTACATTTACTGTTTTGAAGATTCTCCCTGCATATTGCACATATTAAGGCGGGGGCAGATTACTATGCAGCAAATATTCATTACTTCTCCCCACATCCATGGGAAAAGTATAGCTCCCTGACCCAAGAATTTGGATCTAGCCACGTAACTTGCTTTGGCCAACTGAATGTGGGTGGAAGTAACAGGATGCCAGTGTAGTAGATCTTAAGTGGTCTTGGATTGATAATTGCTGCACCTAGAGCTTCTGATCTCTGCCTGCCTCTCTACCTCCAGCCATGTGGGATGGGCCAGAATTCACCCTCCAGATTTACAGATTTATAAGCAAGAAACACAAGGTTTCTGCTGTAGGGCACTGACTCTGAGATGCTTTGTTATGCAGCAAGAGCTGATTCATGCAGGGTTCCAAGAAGTCTGCAATAAGTGTATGTAGCATTGTGCAGCTTTTCATTTCCCTAAACTTCTCTGATCCCAGAATCTTACCTGTATAACATAGAAAGCACTAGCCGATAGTGATAAAACAAAGCACTTGATAAGACTATACTGAAATAAAATGATCAGAATTTTTTAAAACAGGAATTCCTTGCAATAGCATTTGTTACCTAAACAATAGAGTCATGCACTTCTTAAAATTTTGAGTATACAAAGAGGTTTCATAAGTTTTTGTTGTTGTTTTTGTTTTTGGTACCGGGGATTGAACTCGGGTCCTTGCGCTTGCAAGGCAGGCCACTGTACTGCTGAGCTAAATCTCCGGCCCCTTATAAGTTTTTTTTTAAAGACAGGCCTTTGCTACATAGTTCAGGCTGACCTCAAAATCATGAGATCCTCATGCATCAGCCTCCCAAGTGTTGGGATTACAGGCATGTGCCACTATGCCCAGCCTGTTTTCTAAGATTTATCATATTAATTATACCTACTTTTTTTCTTGGGGGGCACCAGCTTAATTTGATATAGTGAGAAAGGCTGGATAAACTGAAATATTTGTTTCAGTATACTTTGTTGATTTGTTCTTTTGTTTGTTTGGTTTTGTGTACCAGGGATCAAAATCTGGACCTTCATGCTTGTGAGGCAGGCGGCAGAAACACTGAGCTAAATCCCAGCCAGTTTCAGTATACTTTGGACTTTACATAACTATAGCTTTATGCTTAACACTTTAAAAATCTTGTAACTGCTGATTATCCAATTCATTTTTTTTCTTTTTTATTGAGTTTATTGGTACTTTTTAAGTATACAGTACAGTTACGTTCACCATTGGGATCTTGTACCTTTACAGGTCAGATTTTGGTTGATTTTTTTCCCCATACCCCTGTGCCCAATTCATTTTATGGAAAATTTATACCATATAAACAAATTGGCAAAATGAGCCCTTATTTGTTATCTCAATCAGCCAAATTAGACTTAATTTCTATTAAAAAGAAACTGCGTATGTGCGTACGGTTCAGTGGCGGTGCTCAAACTTCACTCATACAAGGCCCCATTTAATCCCCCTACTGAGGGCAGGAGGGAGAGAAGGGAGGACATTAAATAAAGAGCATCAGGGCTGGGGATTTAGCTTAGTGGTTCCACTGCCTGCCTCGCAAGCGCAAGGTCCCGAGTTTGATCCCTGGTACCAAAAAGTAAAAAATAAACAAAGTCATCACTCTCAGGCCTCACTTTGTTAGAACCTAACCTGGCCAAATTCACAACACTACTGCCATAATCCACTCTAACATGGAACAGCCTTCCATGGAGGCTGCCCAGACACCAAGCCTGCCGGGGGATCCAGGAGTGGGCTCTGGTGTCCTCTTGTCTACTGCTTGCCAGTTTTCCAGCCCAGAGCCATGTTCCACAATAAAATCAAGACTGGGCAGACTAAAGCACACTTGTGCAAAACAGATGTCAACCTGAAAGCAAAGGCAGGAGGGTACCACCTACATCTCCATTTCCAGGCAGCCCGATTTTGGGAGTGAGGCTAGGGGTGTAGCTCAGTGGGAAAGCACTTTTCTGTTAGCACAAGGCCGAGGGTTCAACCCCCAGGACTGGGGGGAAAGAAAAGGAATTTAGGGAAAAAAGGAAACGTAACATTTTGGAACAAATTCTTTTAAATTATCTGTATCCAAGTACCCCTTGGAAGATCTCACACCTGCAAACATTAACACTGTTAAATATTATCTTAAAATTCAAGGAAAGTTTTGTTGAACCAAACATTAAAATCTTACTTTAAAAAAAGGGAAGCAACTGTTTTATTTTTTAGATAATTTATTGTTAAATGGAGAAGTCACAAAGCAAAATGGAATGGGACAGATGTCAAAAGATAAATTTAAGACACACTATTGCGGATTTCCTAAGGTTAGAAGCAAGAAAAATGTCAAAGGAAAAGATATTCATTCAAATTAAAGTATTTGTAAAAGTTTGTGATTTGAAAGGAAACAGTTTTTCTCTGAAAATACAAATCATCCTTATTAATGAAAGGCATAATTTAAGAGACCAAGAAAAAAATAACATTTTAATTAACAAATAAACTGTATCTCTCACACACAAGTGGGAATGTTTGTTTTGGATCAGTGAGTTTTCAAATTCACCACTTCCACCCTGTAAACTAATGTGAATTCATTATCACCGAGGACATCTCATCCTCACAGAGTGTCCCATTACCTCCACATCCTCCACATCTTCTGTTTCCACAACTCTCAGCAAAGCAGATTTGGAGAAAAAGATGATTAGAAAGAACTCCAGCGGCTTCCCTAGTGAATAACTTAACAGAATAAAACCTGCTTCTCCATTTGCGTGACACATCCACCATCACCCACTTCTACTTACTTTACTGGTAAGAGTTCAGGTTTTTTCCACACCTAGAACAATTTGCCTGAACTTTAACATAATCCCTCTAAGACAAAAATTCAAAATAAAACAAAACTGCCAAAACTCCCAAGGACACCTCGAATGCTACTGTGCTCAGAGACCACATTCTCTCTCCTGCCACACGGCCCACAGTGAGGTCCTGAGCTCATCCAAGTGCTCCTCTCCACTGGGATAGAGCAATGAACACCTCTGGAATTCTCCTAAAGCGATTTAAAAAGTACATTAACTACTTAATGACAACATTAGGAAATCAAATAGAAAAATCTACTTTTACGAATATACCCTGTGCAATTTGCTCTTCCAAAGGCACTCGTTGCTCTGTCCACAACCCAGGAGACGTCAGGGTCCGAGGGCGTCCCTCTTGCTGGGTGCCTGCTGAGATGCACCCTACCACACCCAGCTACATACAAAGAGACTGTGTCCTGTCTGTTAGGAACACAACACTGTTGTCCCCAGACACACCAGACAGGCCTCTATTAGAGCCATATGATTGCACCTGATTTCATCATAACAAAAGCCTCTGCTATGGCTCCAGGGGACCCACAGAACTTTCAATTCTGATTTCAGGGCAGATGGGAGTCATCCACAGAAACCTGGATAAAGCAGGAGGGTGGACTTATGACCCTCTGTAACCCACTTGACATCATTTAGATGTATTCAAGAGAAATATGTATGGTTTGTTCTGATATTGGAAAAAAGTCCACCTGTCACTTCCTTACCCAAGCACCACAGGGATTGCCACGAGGTCCTAAGGAGCAAGGGCTGGGGCTGGGGCTGGGGCTGGTGGGAGGTGGTGAGCAGGGAGCAGGCTGGTCCGCGCCTGCCCAGCAGTGGTGTATCTATTGCTGCTGCCACTAGTTCAGCTGCACTCACACAGGTGCCCCAGGAACATCTTTAGTTCACATGTGGTGCCACAATGGTCATAAAAGAAATGTCCATCACTGCCACAGTGGCCAAATTATACCATTATTCCCTACTCTGAACTCAGCCTAACTTTGGAGGGGGGCGTTGGAGAGAAGAATCCTTGCTTTTTGGACTTTGGATTAGATCCAATTCTTCTATAATTTTAACACCACCGAAGTCCTAAAAACGAGTCCATCCAGATACTTAATCACAATGACTGGAGCACCAGAAATTTCTACATTCCCTCTTTCTGAGGGCACTGGGTCTTAGGTATGGCTGTTCAGAGTAGAAACCTCCCTGACAAGAGTCCCAAAAAGTATTTTTCCAAGACATTTTTTTTAAAATGCCGTTTCTTTCAAAAGAGCCCTCCGCTACATTCTGCCTCATGAAAAAATAGGAAAGTATTTTGAAAACCCAAAATACCTATCAAGAGATTTACACAAGCCTACAGAGACATTAACCAGATGCCAAATGTGCAAGGGCTGAGCCAGAGCCCGGGCCTGGAACCCACCTGCTGGGGAACAGACGGAAGCCACTGCTCCCAAACAGGACCATAGGTCCACTTGACCAGCTGAAGCAGGCAGCAACACAGGGAGCCTTTATTTTTTTCCCCAAAGGCTTCTTGTATTGTGGTTTGGGTTTTCTTGCTATCATGAAAAAGATCTAGAGGATTCCAAGAGTTTTAGTTAACAGGAAATACAAATGGAAGTAGAAATAAAAATGGAATGGAACTCAACTCTCCACAGATTGAACACATATGGGTGTCACAATTTACTGACTTAGCTCTACTCTTGTAGCAGTGAAGACTTCTGTGGCTGAAATTTCTTACAACCCACTTTTCCCACCACAAGGACTTTTCCATGCATTCTTCACACACAGGACGAGTGCAGAGAGATCATCTGCAGCGTGCTCCCTCGTCCCATTTGTTGCCATTCTCCTTTTGCTCTAGTCATCTTTTTGTTTTCTTGTCAGACGGAGACTTTGGGGGAAACTCTGCAGCAGCAAACCAGGAAAAATGCTCCCTTTGAAGATAATTTGAAAATTTAAAAACAAAACCAAGTATCTCAATAATTCTAAGATGCAGTGATTTTTACCCCCAAACTGGGCTCAGAGGCATCTCCAGGTTAGACTCACTCCTCTAGGGCTGGAATGTCGGGCAAGGCCTACATGGGTGGTCTGGGGACCAGGACAAAGAGCCAACAGCTGGCCCAACCCCAACCAGCTTGCTCAAGTCAGCATTCATCTGAGAAGCAGTCGCTGCCCAGGAACTCGGTGGCCTCAAGCTCCACGCTGGACAGAAACCTCCTCAGCTTCTTGTGGCAGTTGTAATCCAGGGTGGTGGTGTAGATGGTCTTGGGGTACTTGGGGTAGACGATGGTGGTGCTGAGGAAGCGTGCGGGCTTGTGGCGGGGCTCAAAGCGCACCTCAGCTTTGTAGTTGCGCCATGTGCAATTAGGAATGCAGATGACCGTCTGGCTGCAGGAGGCCACTGCCAGGCCCAGGGGCAGCTGCACGTCATCGATGAAGTGGCGCTCAGAGTCGTACCTGACTGAAGAAGTGTACCTGGGGGAGACATCGTGTAGAATGAAGCCGCTTCTCAGACCCAGGGGCATGTGGGAGGGGATACGGCTGCCTGTGATTCTGAATCTCTAGTGGGGTGTAAGTATTGCAACGTAGCTTCGCCACCAGGAAGCAGGATAGAGGGGAAGTACTTACTCTGTGTCAACCATTCTAAGCACCTTATCACAGAATCAAATTCAGTCTTCTCAAAAGTCATGGTGCTGCTGAGTGGCAGGGCTGGGATTTATTCATATGTGATGCTGGGAATGGAACCCAGGGCCTTGTGCACGCTAAGCAAGTGCTCTCCCATGGAGCTACACCCGAGTCATGAGCTGGGGTTGAAATGCAGGCAAGCAGGATTCCAAAGCTTACCCTGCACTAATTTCTCACTGCAGCCGGAGGTCCCTGGATTCTCCTCCCATTTACTTAAGGAAGGGTCCTTCATCAGGTGGCTTCACCCGACTAAGCCTCAGTTTCCGCTTTCTGTAAAGTGTGCCCCATCCTAATGGAGCAGAATATCAACACACGGTAATTACCTTCATGGGTCCCATCACAATGTTCTAGCTGACAGGCCACACTTACAATGGCAGTCCCACAGGATTATATGGCCTAGTGACACTGTAGTCTTCTCAGCTGAGCACATGCACTCCAGAAAGACAAAATTGATCGCCTAATACCACACTGCCCTGAATATACCTCTGTCATTAAGCAACATGTGACTGTACTACAGAATGGGGTAGATTCTCCTCTGTATGGGTAGCTTCTCTGTTCCCTCAAGTGACCAAGCAGCTCTTTAATGAAGAGTAAGAAATCTTTAGTGCTGAACCTGGAATTTTGGCAATACCCAGTCCTAGCATCTGGTCTACCTTCGCCTTCAGTTTGGACCTCTTGCAAACCCTGGGGCTTGGGGACCTGACCTTTATCATTGAAAGCCAATTATAATCTTGATTTCCATAAAATAAGGTATCATTTATGTTCGTCAGCTACTTTATTTTTTTTAAGAACTTTGGTAATTTAGGAATTCATTTTTCCTGGAAGCAAAGAAGTACTTTACTATATTATGACTGTAGTTCTACAGATACTAAAATAGGCACAAGTATCATACAGAGACATTGCTAACAGCTGCTACCCCTGGTCAGGTAAGGACCAGCATCATTCTGGGAGTCGGGTGGGATATCTGTTCTCCTTGGGCAGGTAGCAAAGAAGCTGGTGGAAACTAATGTTTTAAAGTCACATCCTTGTTTTGTTAGAAATACAAGCTCCACAGGAATAAAAGGCAAAACTGCTCACCTCCAAACCTATAAACCTCTCTTTGTTCCACATCAAAGGACCTTTGTGTAAATGCTACTGAAATTCCAGTTACAAAACCCCCAGTCACCAAAAGTTACAATTCCTTTCTCTAAAAAAGACATAGCTTTAATGGAGCCTCACAATGAATCTTTGCCCCTGGGTAATCCTCAATGAGATCATTCTCAGGGGAAGACTAGAACTTGTCCCAGACAATATAATGAGACAAAGTTACAGCACCTTGAAGAGGGGACTGGGTGGGGAGCTAGAAAGAAGAATCAATATTCAGTAAGAACTGTAGTATCTGATGGGCATAATATCTGAAATGCACAAAGTTGCAGTACTTTATATATCACATGACCTCACTTTCTCTTTAAAAAGAGTATCTGTGTATGCCTATTATCCCAATCCCAGCACTCAGGTGGCTGAGGCAGGAAGATCACGAGTTTAAGGCTAGCCTTAAAGACTCTATCTCAAAAAACAAAGAAACAAATGAAAAAGAATGCATATGTATTTAAGTGGTTAAAATGTAAGAAAAAAAATCTGAAAGAGTACCCACCAAACTGTAGTCTTTGGCATATTTATACAATTAGCTGTTTTTTTTTTTAAATAAGCCATCATGTCTAGAGTAAAAAGTAAAAATGTAGGGCTGAGAATTTAGCTCAGTGGCTACATGCTTGCCTCAAAAGTGAAAGGTCCTGAGTTTGATCCCCAGTACGGGGGGGGGATAGTAAGAAAGTGAAAATTTAAGAAATAAAATGAGATCTGCTATATTTACCTTACTTCTTTCGGTGGTAAGGGGTCAAACTCCACTCCTTCTCCAAAGGACAGGGGGCAAAGCCTTGGTGAGCAGCCAGCAGCCAGGGTGTTGGGGAGAGATGCTGGGTTCTTCCAGGACAGAGAAAATGGTGGTTAGAGCTATTCCAAGTCCATGGGTGTCCTGCATCCTGGGCACTCCCGGGAAAGGCTGACCCTCAGCAAGGGAATAGCACTGGACAGGGAGCCAGAAGGCCTGGGTTCAATCCCAGGTGGATCTCGAATGCACTCTGTGCCCTCAGAAGAGTCATGGGTATCCTTCTGTGACCTTATCTGCACACAGAGGTAGGGGTGCCCCTCCTGTCACTGCAGTTTGTAAAAGGCAGAAAAGAAGAGACTCCATCTCAGCATCAGGACAGTGGCCAGACACATGGGCCACTGAACAATGGCAGAAATGCAGTGAGAAAACCTTGATGAACCAGAGCCCAACACTCCAGAACTCTCAATTATATGGCACCTCCTCTGTCACTGTCCTGCAACACTCCAGAAACAGCACCCCCCCAAAAAAAATGCTACCAGTGTTTTGTTGTTGTTGTTTGTTTGTTTGGGGTTTTTTTTTTTTAAATCAGATTTAGCTCACTCTCCCCAACCCCTTTGCCTCTGGGGAAATTCTACAACCAGATGAGATTTGAATTCCATAACTCAGAGTCTTGTGAGTAAGAGGAACAGGAAGATGTCTACATCTCCCTCCACAATGCAGAAAACTCAGCAGCCCAGAGCACAGCCTACTGAAGAGTAGCTGTCCCCAGTCTGATAAAGGCACAGGTGCTCTGACCCATCATGGGGCTCATCAGGAGGCAGTTCCATCCTGGTTGCCCCACTGTAGGAATCCTGGTTTCTGTGATCAAATGATCCATGATAAGCACAGTGCAGTTTGACCTCAGCAGTCCTTTGCGTTGCCTGGTTTTCTGGGATCTGTCATTTTCTCTGCCTAATTTGAGAGAAGGCTCTACATTGGGCTAGAATGTAGAGGTGGCAGCCCCACATCCAACCTGGGTCTTCCAGGACAGAGAAAGAGGCAAATACTTCTAGAAGACTGGCCATGAAACCCATATTGTGTGACCACAAGAAGGTGTGGAGTTGGGGCATAGCATGAAAATGCAAAACCCTAAGGGAAACAATACAGGGAGAGGCAGAGGGTCCCAGGGATTGAGCTCCAGATGTGGGTGGAGAGTTTAGTAAGCCCATGCAGGCAAAAGAAGTAGGCTCAAACCAAGGTTAGTGGATGATGTTTAAGGTGTGGACCTCCAGATTGTAACAGTGGGTCTGCTGAGCCCAGCTCCTGGGCTGCCAGAGATCTTCTAAAAACAGGGACACATCCCAGGCAGTCCTGTGGGGTATGTGATGACCCCCGCACACATGGAAGTGGCTGCAATTTGACAGTCACACAATGGCCCTTTCTGCACGCATTCCCCTTGCCCATTTTCTCTGTTCTTTCATCCCTGACCATCCAACAAATCCTTCCTGATCATCCAGGTGTGGGATGGTGAAGGGGTGGACAGAAGAGGTCATGACAGATTCACATACAAAATGCCACTGGGGAATGGAGAGGAAGCCAAAGGCTCTGTAAAGCATCACCTCTTCCCAGAAGAGGTGCCATGAGCTGGGCATCAAAGGGAGTCAGCAAGGACTTTGCTGGGAGGAAAGAGGTAATGTGCTTGCCAAGTGGAGGGAGCTACACCAGAGGCGCCATTGTGTGTGTCTGGCAAGGGCAGGTGGAAGATGAAGCTAGAAAGGATCAGACAGAGAAAGCTCTGAAGACCAAGTTGTGGCTAGCATTGCTCTATAAGAAGCCATACTGATGCCTGCCAAGAGACAGGGTCAGAGGGTCCAGAAGACTACCACATCAAATCTTCAGTTTGGATTCGTAACACTGCCACCACCTACTTGTGCTGTGGGCAGGGGCGTTAATACCCATCCCTAAGCTCAACTTTGACGCCATCCTCCTTTGAGCTTTGACTAGATGTGGCCTCCCCAAGCTCTGGGCAAAAGTAAATAAACCCCAACATCTGAGCGATTCTCAAGGCAAAACAGAGTTGGTGGATGTAAGTTTTAAAAGGATCAATACTTTTAAAATTCCAAGCATCTGAAGGCCTCCCAACCACTAAGTGCAGGACACTCACCAGGGTAGGTGCTCAGAACAAGAGGGACCTCTAGGAGGCTGGCCCGTGGGATGCCTTAAAGGTCCCCAAAGACTGGCCAATTTACTTTTTGAATGGGGAAGCCCTGAGCACATCCCCCTTACAGGACCTGCCAGGAGGAGGCAGGCCTAGGGAGCGGCTGCCAGCTACGGGCAAAGCCGCAGGGTGTCGGGCCCACGGGAGGGGGAGGGGGAGAGGGAGGCTGGGGCTCCCCTTGGTGTCCTGGGTGCCCCACCCGCCCCGCCTGGG